AGAGCGTGAGACTCTTAATCTCAAGGTTGCGGGTTCGACCCCCGCGTTCGGCTTTCTTTTTCGTTCCGCAAACATTTTTACTCCTCTATTGTCATGACTACCAGCATCGACGACGGCTGTCAACGCATGCTGCGCTATTTTTGAGGTATCGTATCGTAGTTGCCCCAAACAAGCCCAGCTGCAGATCCCGATGTAGCGACTGTAGACTGAAACCGACCAAGTATTCCGTTGACCGGGACTTTTGTCACCAGATCATTCAAAGATACTTCAGTCGACGCCGAGGCGATTGCAGTAAATAATGTTCAGGACAACAAAAAATGCTGTCAAGGTGAATCATGACACAAGCAGAGAGTCAAGCGCTGACATGAAGATCCGAGCTTCTCTCAGCTGTTCAACAATGGCAGCCGCCGTCTCACGAGCGCCCTGCTCGCCAAGGAAGAAAAAGTGATTACCATGAATCTGCCGGCACATATTCTCCGGCCGTGAGTGGACCAGCCTGACAACCTCCTCCCAGCGCTCAGGGCTCAGCGATCTATAGCCTCGACCTTCGAGAGTACGCACGAGCTGGTGCACCTGCATGAAGCCCCAAGTCGCCTTGTCCGCAAGTACATGCCGTCCATCCAAGATGCTGTCACCGTGCAAAGCAGAAATCAAAGGCCATTGACGAAAGTTGTACGCGTCGGCATCATCCGTTGAGGTATATCGATCTTCAACAAACCCGCGCTCCGGGGAATAGCTCAAGCCAAAGCCGAGCAAGCCGACAGGCGTACGTCCATAGTAGCCACGGAGATACACATCGTCCGGAATGATGACATGGGAGTTTAAGCGATTCTGCTCATGGACCTGGTCCAGAAAAAGCTTCGACATCCTATCCAATGCAGCATACCCCTCGGACGTCATTTTGATACCAGGGGGAGTGGGCCGAGATCCAGCGAGTCCAGGAGTAGCAGAGAGACCCACGAATAACTCAACAGTTAGCCCCCGTGCTTTCGCTGCTTGCGTGTACGGAACCACTACCCAGCCGCCCATACTCCAAGCAACGAGTACGACCTTGGGGGACAGGCCGTGCCTCTCGATCACCATCTTCGTAACCTCCGCTGCTTGCAGACCCCAATCACGAATACGGAATTCTGGTGCCGTTGCAGCCATGATCTCGTCCGGCTGGCTCTGTAGCGGGTACGAGATGGCTAGTAGGCCGTAGCCCAGTTCCTTTAGCCAGTGTGCTAAGAAGTCCTCCCTGCGGCTTCCGGGATGGCCGCCATATGAGATGCGAGCATTATGGCCGCCACCCGGTATAAACACAATCAGAGAATTGTCGCGATTTGCGGGACTGAATGTGTAAAGTGTTGGGAATCCTGCGACAGTATCCAGGTGTTCTCCTGCATACAGCAAGGGCGGGGTGTTGTCAGTCATGCTGTTGGATGGAATCAAGCTGTTCACTGCAAACTTCCTCCCTCGCAAGACTGCACTTTGGCTGTCTTATGGTTGATGACACATCGCATGCTGCAAGAGTAGATTAACAACGTTGATTATCGAGGAGGAAAAGATTGGAGAAGTGTTTGTCGTTGATTTAAGGGAGGTGCGGGGATATGGTTCAGGGACAGAGTCACGTAATCCGCTCGCTCAGGGGAAGTATACAAACACACGTCAGCATGACAGTTGAATACCTTACGCTTTTGTTGTGTACCACAGAGTTTGTAGAGATGAATTAGGTCATGTTAGACGTCAGGTATGAAAGCATAAAATGCAGACACCAAGGCACATAGTCAACTAATATAAAGCACGACGAGATCGCTATCATATCAAAGGCAACAAGAAAACTCCAACAATATCACAATCAAATACAACTATCCTATGCATAGATCCTACTCCGCGTCAGCTTGATTGGAACTTGATTGCTCCCTTATGTGCTCTGCCGTATCCTTCTTCTCGATGAACGCATGAACCACAGCTGTGAGTTCCTTGATCTGCTCCCGCAGCTGTATGATCTCCAAAGTACAGTTCTCTGCATTCGGATCTGGGGTGGTGTCCCGCACGGCCTGTCTCCAGGTATCATCCACGTCAAAGTCAACTTCCTCAGCAACATCCTCCCATTCCTGGACAACATCGTCATCCTCTTCTCCTTGGCGACGATTCCACCGGATCCGGCGTGCCTCGCGGGTCTCGAGCGTCGCGATGATGAGTAAGAGTGGTGAGTAGATGATACCCATGATGACCTCGTTCAGTTTGGCGTAGTACTCGCGCGGCATCCACCATTCAAATGGGAGGACCAGAAAGATGATTTCGAGCAGGTTGAAGGCTAGTAGGCTCGCCGTTAGTCAATGCGCGGTCTGCAGCAGCATAAGAGGACTCACGAGGAATGAAAACGTTTTCGTCTGGTGCCCGGACAAACTGCATTGTCTTCAGCGCGAAGATCGCCATGTACTCGTCCACAGCATTGCCAGCGATATCCTCATAAGCGCTATTGTAGAGGGCAATCAAAATGTTGAGCAAAACTATTGGCCGTCAGTAAAACATCGCCCGGTCTTGCTGCAAGCAGACCGACTTACCAATCATGACAATGAAATTGAACAAATAGTAGAGGACGAGACCAAAGGGGAACGCCAGTTCCTCGAATACGCCGAAATCTGGGCTCTGCATGACACTGTTCGCCATGCCTTGTATGATGCCCCTGGTAAGAGCGAGTTCGCCGTCTGCCTGGGCCATTCCGTAAAACGCCTGGAAGAACCCGCCAATAATGACAAAAAGAAGGGCAAAGAAAATCAAGCTCTCCTTCATCATGACTCGCAGCACAACGAACATGGCGCCGAAGAATTTGAATGAATCGAGGTAGAGCATCATACGCATCCAAAACATGGGACCTGCCATGGCCAGGAAATTGTAACTCAGCTGGTTGAGTGTTTTCCTCTGTTCATCGTTGACGGAGCTCGACCGCGTAAGGGCGGCGACACGGAGGAAGAATGACACTGCGAGGATGGTGTACAGAGTCGAGTTGAATGCGTTCCAGAAGTCGAAGTAGTCCCTTCCAACCTTCCAGAGTTTGGTGAGCTCGTCACAGATGTAGGACAAAGTCATGACATAGAGGATTCCCTCAACAACATCCAAATCCCCGGTAGAGTTGACGGTATTGATGACGATGGTATACAGGATGAGGTATATCAACGAGAAAAATATCTGGCATGCGTTCTGATAGAAAGGAGTCCTCATACGGTCAGGATGGAAATGAATTCTAAAGTCTGTGTTGTCTTTGTCGTGGTAGGGAACGAAATTGGTCGGGTTACCCTCTTCTTGACAGAACCACCCACGCCAGAGATACTTGATACACTTCTGGTATCCTGAAGAGCCTATGACTCTCAAAGCATGTAGATCCACGGCTCGCTCGATAACGTTGGCCGGTGTAGTTGGTTCTCCGTCCAGGAAGATGGAGTACCTCTGTAACAGGGCATCCTTCATGAGGGAGTCCTGGTCCTCGTCGCTCTCGATTCTGAAAGTCTTGGTTAACATTAAGCCTTTTCAGCTGTATTTAAGATGGTTTTTTTTTCTTACATGCGCTTCGCAATGACCTCACACGCCAGCGCGCGACGCAGGTGCAGATCAGATTCCCAGAGTTCGGCTCCCGCCTGCAGCTTGAACCACCGTAGACAAACAAGGAGACAGTACAGCACACAGGCTTTGTGGTCATCGCCACCTGCCTGCTTGGCAGTCTGGATCACTTCATCGGTGATGATGCGACTATTAGGCTTTGTGATAGAACTCTCTTCGATCTCGAACGGAATGACCTGTTCGATCTGATATTTCAATCGGAGAGCAACCTTCGTCACCTCCTTCGCAGGACTGACAGAGGCCCCCTGGTCGGCTCTGTAAGCAGGAAGCACTATTTGCCATGTTAGCTTCAGGAATGTGCGATGCTGGCCGAAGATCAGGCCCAGCCGTTGGTGATGACGTACAACGCCGCCGTTCTGGGAGACGGCGATGGTGAGTTCGAGATCCAGAGCTGAAGATGTCCCCCCAATACCCCATACTGAATGCTGTGAATTGTGATTCTACTCCGTACAGTCCAGGATTTCTGAAGAGCAGTATGCCTGCATTCGAAAGAAAGAAAGGGCAATGGAGAATCAAACTTCAAGCAAGACTCAGTTCCCGCGCTAAGGTCCCCGCCATTCCCAGCCACCGTTGATCTATCCGGAACTTCAAAACACCAGGGAACTCAATCACCGCGACCTTCTCAACTGTATGTGGCAAGTCTCTCGTGCAGCCTAGTACTACAACTATAGGTAATCGCTGAGTCCAGTCAAACCGACCCTACTTTCACCTTTGGAAATAATCTTCGTAGTCTAGAACGTACTCTTGCAGTTGGCACTTAGATATGAACTTATGTACATCAAATCAAGAGATAGAGCTGTCCCAGAACTGTGACCAGAGCTCAGTCATCAACGCAAATCTGAGTGATATGGACACATCGCTACGCCACAGGAAGCAGTGCAGCCGCAGATCCTCCCATGGGTGTACTGTTCTCAGCGTAAAAACCAAGTTCAGTCTGAACCCATTGTTCGAGAGAATGCTGCTCAGCCCTATCCCGCTCGTGAGCACATTAAACCCGTCTTCTGTCTCGTAATTCGTGTCATAAACGAAGCCCTTCTATCAGAAACTTTTTTCTTGCCCCCTTCTCTGACCCAACGCTGAAACAACCGTCTCTCTCTTGTGGCACCAGCCCAATTCCCAACGTATGCAAGAAAAATGGAGGTTTGTCATTTGCAAAGGGCCCATTGGCCCAAGGAGTCGTGACTAAAGAGGCGCAGCATGGAGAATTTATTCAGGGACACCCTCGTCGCTCTCGGACATGCTCTCATCGCCGCTGACTTCCATGTTTTCACGCTCCCGCTTGTCCATGAGCTCCTGGAGAGCAGCGTCGTCGTGCTCGGTGACAGCCTTGGGTGCCATCTTGACGACACAGCCACCCCCGGCTTTCTTGATCTCGCTATCGATTCTCTCGATGGCCTCCTCGAGCAACTTGATACCCAAGTTCTTATCCAGGCACTGGCTGGTCAGGACGTACAGGGGAGGAGCGACCAGCTTGACCTTGATCTGGTTCTCGGGGGTATTGTTCGCCTCGGCGGTGCGAAGAGCGGTCTTGACGGCGTCGATTCCGTCGTAGCCGAAGCAGGTGACTTCGATATCAGCACGAACTTTGGTCGGGGAGGGAGTCAGCTTCTTGCTGATGTACTGTGTCAACTCCTTCTTGACGGCTTCGCTGGGAAATTCCACATCCTGCCACACGTCGGGGTTCCTATTGATAAAATGAGTCATAAGGTCGAAATATGTAGATGTGCGGGTTGATCATACGTGATGGAGATCTTGAAGGCATCGTGAGCATGGCCGTATTTCCGGTTCAGTGGCCATCCGATCTTCTGGTACAACTCCTCAAGGGGAGTCTGAGTGGCTTCGGCGACATGGCGCATGATGGAGTGAACCGCCTTGCTCTTGTTGTACCTCTCCTCGCACTTGACGACATCTTCGGGAGAAACTCGACGCTTGGAAAGATCGATGTAACCTGTACAGAGACGGAACCTATTAGACGGATGCTCTCGAGTACTTTCAGAGTCGGTCACACTTGCCCTTTTCCTTATCAACACGAAGCACGATGACAACCTCGTTGCGGCCAATCCGAATGAGCTTCTGGATACTACGAATACGTCTCCGCGACAGTTCAGACAGCAAGATCATGCCATCGATATTGTCATATTCGAGGAGCTTCACGTATGCGCCCATTTCGGCGATCTGCAAAATGAAACAGCGGGATTAGTCAAAGATTCCTGCAAAAGAACGACGAAGGCCATAAAAACGGTCGCATACCTGCTTGACATTGACCATGACATAGCTGTCGACTTCCGGGTACTTCTCCTCGTAGAAACGGCAATTTGTTAACGACATTTTGGCGGGGCTGCGCCTGATATTAGACGGGATTCGACAAGGATTTGAGGATTAGAGACGAATGAGGAGCGCGAAAAACGTTTTCCCTGATAGCTCCTATTAGAAGATCGAAGGTGTGCGACAGGTGCAGAGGGAAGAGGAGGTGCGGCAGCAGGCGAGTTCTTCGACAATCTCAAATCACTTTGTGGCGGTTCAAAACCCACTTTTGGGCTTTGTTGCAGCCCGCATCGAATTCCGGACAGCCATAGGTACCCACAGTGCAGTTATATCACGTGGTCGAGAGTTTTCATGTACCGCCCGGCAGAAAACAATCCAGCTTATCGAGTTTATCAGTTCAGCCACACTGCCATTGTATCTGGAGGCAAGACTGGAAGTCTCAAGTCACACAAATCTCTCTGCCATGAGCTCACGATCAATCAACAGCGGTAACGACTTTGTTGAAGCCGGTTCTGATGGATGTTCATCGCTTTCCTTACTGCCTTGACCTGCCCTCCGCCGTTTCTCGGCTTACTTGGCCGAGCCGCTTCCACCGCCCTTCGCATCTTGGAGCACCACTTTCGTTGGACCTTGTTGAAACATTTAGCTAATATTTCACGGTCTAGCCTTTTTCCCCTCTATTTTACTATATTCCTGATTCCTTTCCTCTATCTCTCTTCTATTCTACCCGAGCATGGCGGTTTTTGGATGATTGTTTATGTCCCCGATTATTGAACGATCACAGTTTCGTCTTGTGTTTGTATAAGCATGTCGGATTCCACTTCCCTCCATGGGACGGGTCAACACCGCTCGGTGCGGGACCGAATGTTTGATATCTTTCGGACTTCTTCCCCAACCAGTTTTTCAGCTATCCCTGAGGCCAACCCACGAAACTTGCCGACATATACGACGGAAGAACCCGATGCTAGAACTCGTCTACTGGAATCATACCATGACGGGGAAGCTGTGTGCGGACAGAAGGTTTGTCGCCATGGCACATTCTCCCCGAGACCAGAGACACTACATGGCGTCTTGGGATTGAGCGCCGGAAGGACAGACCTTTCGGGTGGTTCCAGTGGGAACTGTAGTGGTGGACATGGGCCAGACAACCTACGCTCGTTGGAGTCATCGACATCCGGATTACCTGTGAAGAATCGCAACGCACTGTATGTTTTGATACCCTGAAGGGCTGAGTGTCTTTCGAAGACGCTCAATATTGAAGGGTCTTTCCGTCATGGCTAACCTTCAGCTAAATCAGTTACCTCTCGTATTACATCCCGTTTTTCAATTGGATTGGCCAGTACCAATGGTCCTTCTTCCGAGGGGACCTCATCTCTGCATTGACTGTTGCATCAATCTATATTCCAATGGCACTCTCCTTGTCCTCGAACCTCGCGCATGCGCCGCCTATCAATGGTCTCTATTCTTTCGTGATCAACCCCTTCGTCTATGCCGTCTTGGGAAGCAGCCCTTTGCTGGTCGTTGGCCCAGAAGCAGCAGGATCATTGCTCACCGGTACAATTGTCAAGTCAAGTGTCCGGCAGGGAGATTCGCATGAGGATAATGGTGCTGAGAATGCCATGGTGGTGGGAGTAGCAACTGCCATGGCAGGCTCAATGATCCTGATTGCAGGACTGACTCGTTTGGGATTTTTGGATAACGTCCTCAGTCGGCCTTTCCTGAGAGGATTCATCACCGCCATTGGCTTTGTTATCTTCGTGGATCAATTGATTCCGGAAGCTGGGTTGGCAGAGATGGCGAAAGACGCCGGGGTCAGTCACGGCACCACTGTGGACAAGCTACTGTTTTTCTTTCGAAATATCAGGAACTGCCACCGCCTCACAGCCGCAATGTCTTTCAGCAGCTTCGCCATTATAATGGTCTTCCGGTATGTGCTGAATCCTTCCCTGCAGGGTATGTATGTCCTAACTCGGTGCGCTATTCAGAACGTTGAAAAAGAAACTGCAACCGCGCTACCCTCAGGTCGTTTACTTTCCAGATCGCATCTTGGTAGTCATTCTTGCGGCGATTCTGACGTGGCGTCTGGACTGGGATGAGAAAGGGCTCGAAATCCTGGGTCCCATGAAAAATACAGGAAATGGCGTCTTTGCGTTCAAATGGCCTTTCCAGTTCAGTCATATGAAGCACGTTCGCACGGCAATGAGTACCTCTTTCATTATCGCGCTGCTTGGCTTCTTTGAGTCCTCTGTAGCCGCGAAGGGACTGGGTGAGAGCAGAAGCGACGGTGTTAAGGGTATGACGGTCAGTCCCAACAGGGAGATGGTGGCTCTCGGCGTGGCCAATGTCGTTGGGGGGTGCTTCATGGCCCTACCTGCGTTTGGTGGGTACGGAAGAAGCAAGGTCAATGCTTCCACTGGAGCTCGAAGCCCCATGAGCAGTATCTTTCTGAGTATCATTACTCTGGTCTGCATTCTAGTCCTGCTCCCTTATCTATACTATCTTCCGGTGAGTTCTCCTGTTGTCTGTTGCGGCCAACTGCGATATTTTATGGAAGCTGATGTCATTTAGAAAGCGGTCCTTTCAGCGATGATCTCTGTTGTCGCCTTTTCGCTGATTGAGGAATGTCCGCATGATTTGGCATTCTTCATTCGTCTACGCGGTTGGACTGAATTGGCCTTGATGCTTCTCATCTTCGCCTCAACGATATTTTATTCACTCGAGTTGGGTATCGCGCTTGGAATCGGGCTTTCCGTCCTGATATTGATTCGGCACTCGACTCAGTCGCGCATTCAAATTCTCGGGAAGATACCGGATACGGGTCGATTCGACAATGCCGAGCTCCATCCCGAGAATGTCCAACTGATCGAGGGCGCCCTTATCGTCAAAATTCCCGAGCCTCTCACTTTTGCCAATACTGGCGACCTTAAGAATCGCCTACGCCGTTTGGAACTATATGGTTCGAGCAGAGTGCATCCATCCTTCCCTCGGATGCGCTCTCCAGAGAACAATAAGAATATCATCTTCGATGTCCATGGTGTCACTAGCATTGACGGGTCTGGCACCCAGGTTCTTTTCGAGATAGTGAAAGGATATGTGGACCAGGGGACGCGAGTGTTCTTCTGCCGTCTTCCCAATCGCGACGTCTTTCGAATGTTCGAACGAAGCGGTATTGTGGAACAATGCGGAGGAATGACTCATTTCGTTCCCAGTGTGGATGAAGCGCTCAAACTCGCCGAATCAGAAGAGCAGACGGCCGAAAGCTGAAGTGATTCAGGAAATAGAGCAATTCTGGCACACGGCCAAACAACCTATCTCTATTTGACTCTCACGATGTATTGAACGATTGACGATTGTGTATATATTCCCAGGCAGCACGCTGTATGTATAAATTCCTGAAAAGCATGGAGCCAGTGCAAGATTGGATCGTCGGATAGGGTTGCGACTTTCTATACTCCGTAGACGAGCAAGCACTTCTTTGAATGAGATGATGTACTTGCGTGGAGAACGTGATCTTTCTTATTTCCTCTCCTTTCTCCGTATCAAATAGGCTCGCAGGACTGCGTTGTGTCTGCGTCCCGTCGGGTGATGGCTGAGTAACGTCCTGATAGAGAAAGTGGGCGACATCCACGGAGGCGATTCAGTTCAGGCACGAGCACCTCATTTGGGCCAGGGTACGTAGGCAAGTCGTCAATGCCGGGATTAGGCTAGCGCAGGGGACGGCTCATGGACTGCTCCCTGCGTAGCATACGGTTTCAGAAACAGTCATCTGTATCTGATCACCTCAAGAGTGAAAGTGAAAGCTGGGTCAGGCTCAAGCAACTAAACTCGCTGGGAGCATCTCATCACGCTCATGTCTGCTCATCACCGCTCATAGCAGCTCGACGTATAACAGCTTGGAGCAGTGCCTCATTCGCCCGCAATAGCAGACTATCCTTGCTCTCACGAGCTGCAGTAGCACCATCTTCAGAGCTGGAGCCAGCTTGTCCCGACGGCGCGACCAGCTTCATTTTACCTTCACTGCCGAGGACGAAGCTGCCACATGCTATTTTAGTCAGACGCACGGGTTGATTGACCGAGTGAGCCAGATCTCCCAGATTCAGCTTCATCGCCAAGTGCTTCTCTAGGTAGGTGGATAGGCCTGTTAAGACAGAAACCTTCTGGTGAGTCGACCCGCTGTTTGAATTGCTTTTGCGCACAAAGTCCATGAAGGAACCGCGCGGAAGATTGATGTTGAGGGATCTCAGAGCCGGCGCAACGGGCGGCGCAAAGGACAACGTAAGCTGCGTTTCCTTGATGGTATCTTCGAACATCCGATAAGAGTCGGAAGCCCCGTCATGGTCTCCTGCCATCAGCATATCGATGTACATCCCTAGGGCCGTATACATGAAAGTTGAGGGCAAGCGAAGAACAGAGCAGTAAGTGTCAAAATTAGCAGACAAGAAAGAGATGAAGGTCTGCCGCAGTGGATTTGGGAACCGCGTCAGTAGGAGCGGGAGCTGAGTGGACTGTTGTCGCCTTGCCGAGATGCGACGGCCATCTGGTGCTGCGAGGAGAGCAGCTTTATAGGTGATGTTTTCGTACTCTAGAGTCACCAGTATCCCGGAAAGTTTCTCCGATGTAGCTTGTGTTGAGGGTGCCGATAACGTTTCCCAGACGCAGTCTTTCAGAGGTCCTGTTCTGGAGAAGATATCATCATCCACAGCGCCAGCTGCATTTAATGGAGTGTGGGCACTAGAAAATAGATCCCCTGCGAGCTGAACCCTCAATCTGCTAGCATAAGTTCTCAGAGCGGCCTGATTGCCAAGAAGGGAATGGAATTCTTTCCCATGGTGCAGGGGAGAAAGACGGTGCAGTGTCCATGAGGTATTCCAAAGCTGCTGTAGGTCAGAATGTGCCATCACGAACTTCTGAATGACTTTGTCCAGTAAAGTCTTCGTGTCGTATACCGAAGTTGAGGAAGAGTCGTACCTGGATGTATCTACTTGATCGCGATATGGAACGCGACAATCAGGCAAACAAAGCAAACAAATTTCCCAAACTGATATACGTTTAGGGCTTAGGGCTGTTGGTCCAGAATGCAAGAGACCGCGAGAAGTCAAGCCATTTGGACTCTTAAGCATGGCAGTGAATAGATTTCCAACCTTTACAGTGCACTGTTGTAGTGATAACAATATATAGAAAGAAAGCGCTCAACCCATTTCTATGCAGCCTCAACTCCGAACTGAGAGCCATGCCCTGTATCTAACGCCTGTGTCCTGGTCAACGAGATGGAAGCAGATTGAAATATACACCAAAGACAATTTTCCTCATGCACGCCAGGCCCTGCCTTGACGGCAATCCTGACAACCTAGTGCTACGGGGACACCTTTCCAGACCCAGATATTCTCTGCGTCATGGGGAAGAGCTCTCCGTGAGGCCAATTCCTCTCTAGCAACATCGAACCAAACATCCTGCACCGATGAATGAAGATGCGATACCGGCGTGCTCTCGAACACCAACGAGTTGATATCGTCTTTCTCGTTCAGCATCAAATCATTATGAAAGTTACGCATGAAATCTTTTCGTTGCACTCGCTGACTGCCACCATCACCTATTTCTGCGGAGAAGTATTCCACTATTCGAAGAAACGGTGACGCAGTAAGCAGCGAGCCGATCCAGCTGTCATCCGCCACGGGCTCCTCGGGGGGCACAGTATGTCGTAGGTACGAAACGAGCAGCTGCATACAATGGTGCGTACAGATCAGAGTCGAAGTATTGGTAAATGGAGCCGATCGAAGAATTCCGATCTGCAAATCTCGGTACAAGGATTTACGGACATCCGGGGGTATAGGAACGGGCAATCGTCTGGCTTCCATGTCTTGCAAAAGTGCATTTTTTAACTCACGACGGGCAAGACTGTAAGCCTCCAGAAAGTATAGCGTGTAGTACCTGGTAGGAAGACGCGTCTCATTAGAATCAGTCGCTGGAGGATGATTTGCGACGAGCACTTACATAAGTGGTATGAGGTTGAACCATAGACTGGACTTCCCCCGTTTCAGGAACTCATTGCGCTCATTTCTGGATGGAAACATCGCCTTAACGAAAGCTGGCTCGCAGTGGACGAATCGATCCATGACGCGGTCTGCGAGGTAGTAGCAAAGTTTAGAACACAGCTTTGCCCGTCGTCGCAAGCTATGCATATAGCGGAAAGTGTATAAATGGCCGCCCTTGGCACTTTTGGCGGGAGGGAAAAGGTCGGACAGAAGCACTACATCGTCTTCGGGATTTCGAGTATATTCTCTCTCGCTATCGATGGGAGATGGTAGCGTTCCATGACGAGCCTGTCGAAGGTATTGGCGCGCGATCAGCTGTTCATGAAATGTGAGGACTTGACAAAAGGCCTTGCAAACAAGTTTGAGTTGCAGCAGGTCTTTGATACCACATTGAGCGAAAATCTTGATTTGGATTTCGACAGGCAGGAGATCCCAGGGCGAGGAGGTTGGTACTATGTCGGTTTTCTCGATACTGAGCCCGTGTCAGCAATTAGGCTGACATGTACAAAGCTAATCCCATAAACAATGTAAAAACTTACACCGAGCTCGATGACAATGAGGACGGGAAGAGACTTTTCCGGGACGGCTTTTTACCCTCTGATTTTCTGCCTCTGCGAATTGCAGCACCGGCTTTCTTTGCATGTTGGCGCAGTTGTTGCAGGATCTCACTCATCATCAAGCAGCGGAAACCATAAGGAGGCCGGCTCCACCTTCGAAGTCAAAGTTAAGGGGGCAGTCACCGGCTCACCATGCAGGGTGAGACTCTCTAGAGAGACAATTACTGTTCTGTCATGAAGGACTTTCAAAAGGAAGAAAGTAGTGCTTACCTCCAGATCCATCGTCATTCTATTATTCTCCGCTTCAAAGACAGGAACAGAAATGCCGTGACTAAGCCACGCTTATCTGATCTAAGAATAGTTTGATAGCGCAAAGTACTATTAAAAGTATTTTTTTAATGAACTTTCACGTGTCCGTCAATTTGACAGAACTTGATTGAAGTGAGCTAGCTAGCCAGTCAAAGTTTCAAACGGCAGGGTGGATCGGAGGGGAGTGTTTGAGCATTATTGTACCCTTGAAACGAAAACATGGTACATCACTCGACTGAATGCAACTTTCTTCGCCATCATTAGTATTAGTCTGTATTGAAAAGCTCCGATATGACTGGTGAGAGCGCTATTCGTCTGTAATTAGGTTTGTTGTAGGTCCATAAGAGTAACTTAAGAAAGTATACTTTAGATAGATATCACCCTGATGAACACAATAAGGATACATTTACGTCATCCGTTCCCGATGTTGCGCAACGCTTATGCACGTGGCTAAGCGCAGGAGACCATCAATTGCATTCGGGTAGCAGTGCCAACCTCCCAAGTTCTCACAGCTTTTAGCAAGCTCAGTAAGAAACCTAGAAATGAGCAATAACATCCTCATTGTCGGTGCCAGCCGAGGCCTTGGAGCCTCGTTGAGACACTTGTACGCATCCAAGACATCAACAGCCAGTGTCTTCGCGACAAGTCGATCCAGTGCCCCTCCGGAAGACAGTTCTGAATCTCGCGTCTCATGGATCCAGAATATTGATGTCTCCCAACCCAATGTGGGCGAAACTCTGGTATCCCAACTGCCTTCATCCACCAAGCTCTCCTGCGTGATCGTCACGGCGGGCTATTTCGGATTCGAGACATTTGATGACCCCGACTGGGAAAAGGAAGTAAGGATGTATACCACTTCCGCCATTGGCCCCGTCTTTGTTGTGCAGCGCCTCGTCAAAGCGGGTCTGCTGGACAAGGGAAGCAAAGTGATATTGGTCAGCAGTGAAAGCGGGAGTATCACATTGCGGCATGAAAAGGAGGGTGGAGGGAATTATGGTCATCATGCCAGCAAGGCCGCATTGAATATGGTTGGGAAACTTCTAAGTCTAGATTTGAAAGAGAAGGGCATTGCTGTCGGGCTGGTACATCCTGGCTTCATGCGCACGGAAATGACCAAGAGTGTAGGATTCGACAAGTACTGGGATGCCGGTGGAGGTAAGAGGTCATTGACGTGTCTATTGTACTATAGAGTGGCGCTGATCCTAGGACTACTCGCAGCCGTTACCCCCGATGAAGCAGCTCAGTCTCTGGCCTCGTTCATAGATGGCTTTGACATTGGTCAAACGGGGCAGTTCTGGGCACCACGAGGACCTGGGTAAGTGTAGCTTTGGACCAGACAGTCAAGCACGAGGCTTGGTGCTAATTCTTTGGCAGGGACATTGGGACTGCAGAAGCTGTTCTGGGGAAAGACTTGCCTACGCCGTTACAACTACCATGGTAGGCTGGAGAGCCATAGATACTTAGTCACGTAAGGTCGAAGGAATGGATGAGGACCATCTACAGGGGGATCATTCTTTTGTGTTAAGCGAGATGGTTTCCATCCGATGATAGTATATATATCCCGAATGCACCATCTTGCCGGGAGACCTTGCCAGTAACACGCTTTTTACGTAGACAAACCAATTGAGAGCTTCTCCATGTAAGCAGCGTACTTTCTGCATCGCCATCTTGTTCTCAGAGAAGAAAAGAACCAGACGGAAATAGGCCGCATTCTTTTCTCACAGCGTCAGGCAGCAAACTGGGGCTAATCTGGTCATTGAAATGGTTACAAATAAATGGACTTAAAAAAGTCAAATGCATCATCCGTGAATCGAACACGGGCCTCGTCGATGGCAACGACGAATTCTACCACTAGACCAATGATGCTTTAGCTTGAAGCATTTCTCATAATTAATGATTATCTTCACCTCTCCGCAGATGCACGGTGAAGCTATTGTTCAATCCGTCCCATTCTGTCTACATGTGCTACATGGGACTCGGGGTCCAGTACTGGTGGACAGCTGATAGGAAATGCAGGTGTTGACCTAAACCAAATAGGAAGCTGATTTGGAGTTTCTGGCCCGCACATGCCGATATCCGAAGCACTGCCTCCGCCCGACTGCGGGATACAGTAACTAGGTTCACAAATGTACTCACGCTGCGCCTTGAAGCTTTTCCCAAGGTTGTAATTGTCCACTAGTACACTCTTCCATCTGAATACGAGGGTTTTTATCGCAGCAATCAGTGATTGCATACGTCACAGCTCCATACCATTAGCTCAAGGGAATTTATCTGATTTGCTGGTTCAAGTGGGCAATGCAGAACTAATGGCCGCTAGAAACCATCTGGAAGGCAATGCAAGCTCACGTGGATGGGCATGTTGCCTGACATCGGCTCTGTGCAGCAGACAGCACGGCCTAGCGGGGCAACAATCAACAAGAGCATGAAGCTCGTCAGTAGTGGGACAATCTACCTTGCCAACCAGGGTTCTTGACTCTTGATGCCTCTGCAGACAATTACACGAGAGCCATCCTTCGCGCGACTCCACTATCGAATGGTGGTTGACACTTGACAGCCTGATAATACTGGACAGATCGCCTGCTGCGGCAGTGCTCTGCATTGCGGCTCATGGAGCCGAATACGGGGTGCCCAAAAGGGTACCGATCTGAGCAGGCCATGGATGAGCTAAGGTGCCGTGAAGACAGATGGTTCCCCCGTTGATGGAGCCCATCTACCCATGTAACTCTACGTGTAAGAGAGGTAGATGTGGAGGGAACGGCATGAGATGTACTCCGTATGGCACCATGGATCAGCGAACTGAGAAGCATCCCAAGCTCCGCGGACCCTAAGAGAACAAAAGGAACAACTCCCACATACCTTGCTCAGCCTTTTGATGTGGAAACCATCCATCCATGGTTTGCGCCCGGATTGCCCACCAAGTGGGAAACCAATACGTACATAGCCTAGAGCAGCAGGAGCTAGACTGCTTAGCGCTTAGGCGGAGGAGATCCAGTGGATATCGCCAAGTGCTGCGCCCCACATGAATTTGCGGAGATGCATCACGGTTGGTGCTGCTCGGTAGCTACTTACTGTGAGGCAGGGCATTAGAGGTACTCATGATAGTGTACCTTATGACGATGAGAGATAGGCACAGTAGTCTAGGTAGCTTAGATCTGTACTGCACGGGAAATAAGAGATATCACTACCTATTTAACCCCGCAACATCCCATCTCTCTTCACTACGCAATACACTTCCAAGTCTCACGATCATCAACCGTCTCTTTCAGTGTGGCGGCCTGAACCTTAAGCTGATTCGTACTTGGGCTTTACATTCTCCCATCCCTCGGGAGCACCTTTATACTGCATTTTCACCAATCAGTCCCATTATCTTGTCTCTGTTAGTCAACTCTTATACAAGCGAACACTACAGATAGCCACGATGTCCACCGAGGCGAACATTCCTAACGGAAAGGCACCGGTGCAAAGCGCGCCAGGCCACAGCGCCCACACACGCGGACCCGTGGTCGTCCAGCCAGCGCGCCTTGATGACTTGCAGCCAAGATATGCCCAACAGATCCAGCATGATGCCGATAACCCGGATGCGCATAGCTGGTACGCTTCCTTGAGTAAGTCTTAGCATTTTTAACTCTTCGACTGTTGTCGTCTGTTTACTCATTCTGGTTCAAATATAGTCCATACATTGGGTGAATGCATTGGTGGCTTGGGAGCTATCCCGTGCTGCATCTGCTGCCCCAACCCGTTCAAGCCAGTGGCACAGGGTGAGGTGGGTCTGGTCACCAAATTCGGACGGTATGGAAGCATTGCGTAAAGTGCGATCAATGGTATACTTACTTCTGCGGTAGATTCGAGCGTGCGGTCGATCCTGGTCTGGTCAGAGTTAACCCTTTGAGCGAACATCTGACGACCGTCGACGTTAAGATCCAGATCGTCGAAGTACCCCGCCAGGTTTGCATGACCAAGGACAATGTCACTCTCAATCTGACCTCGGTCATCTACTACCAAATCATTTCGCCTCACAAAGCGGCTTTCGGCATTGCCAACGTACGGCAGGCTCTGATCGAGCGCACACAGACAACTCTGCGGCATGTTATCGGAGCGCGGGTTCTGCAGGATGTGATTGAACGCCGCGAGGAGATCGCCCAGTCGACGTCTGAGATCATTGAGGAGGTTGCAGCTGGATGGGGTGTTCTAGTCGAATCGATGCTCATCAAGGACATCATCTTCAGCAATGATTTGCAGGACTCGCTCTCCATGGCAGCGCAGTCCAAGCGTATTGGTGAGAGCAAAGTCATTGCTGCTCGTGCCGAGGTGGAATCCGCCAAGCTCATGCGTCAGGTATGTTGTACCTCATCCAGCCCCGACAAGCCCAGCAGAACTAACGCAAGACTTCTCTAGGCTGCGGACATTCTGTCCTCTGCTCCTGCCATGCAAATCCGCTACCTCGAGGCCATGCAAGCTATGGCCAAGACCGCTAACAGCAAGGTTATCTTCTTGCCCGCTGTCAACCAGACAGTGCAGCAACAGCTGGCTGCAGCCGATAATGCCGGCGAGGGTCCAAGCAAATACGGAGCCGGGCTGCCTGGACAGGCGGACGACGGGTTCCAGCGCGCTATCAATGCCCGGGTGGTGGAGGATATCTGAGCATGATAAGGCCGGTGTCTTGATCCAGATCAGATAATGCTGAAAATCCGTTGACGCCATCCGTCACGGATGAGTACCTGCGCTCTTTTGCTCTACTTTAATTCCCCTGATTCTACCGACGATACCCACTTTCTTTCATGTTGACTGACTGCCTGATACTCTTGTATTCTTGGTTTGCTGGATATGCACGGCTATTTCCTGGAATCTTTTTATGATGCCTCTGCTGAAATAACTTGCTTCTCTGCGTTCCGCAACTGAATAATGCCTATACTTAATCGAAGCTTTCCTTGGACAATTTTCATTCTTTCAGTATGCCATCAACGTAACATATTGCCGTAGGCGGTGAAGATTAAACATTGACACGATGGAAGCATCGATAGGAGTTGTCAACATGAGCGGGACATAACGATACAGAAAATCTAGACTAGCCGATGTCGGTCGCGGGTTTGGAGCGAGGAATATCTCGTAATATTTCAATCTTGCTCTATTAAATTCTACAAAGAACGAGCTCCTGTTTCCAGTCCTCCCCGGTAGACGCTCCAACACAATGGCCTCGACACAGACTCCCAGTCCGGCTCGCGCAGCTATCTTGACCTCAAACACACGATCCTCTCAAGAAGTGACCCCTGACTTTACCGACCCATCCTTCGATCCAGCCGATTTCCTCAACGATGTCCTTCCCCCGCTGACGCTGGCGTCATCGCAATCCCGCGGCGCGGGCGCCGTCCCCCTCGCGGAATTGTCCGCTCAAGTCCAATCGATCCTCACTCAGATCAATGCGCAGAATGTCCGGCTTTCCAATCAGCTCACACAGCTCACCGATGAGATACTGCGGAGTGGAGGGCGACTGGCTTATGAAGTTGAGGTGCTGCGGGGTGAAGCGATTGGGCTTTCGGATACGTTGACCGAGGTCCTTCAGCCGGATATTGCCCAGTTTGTACCCGAGGGTCTACAGACTGCTGTGGATAGCGACAAAGATGTTGCTATGGCTCAAAAGGGAGAAGAGGGAGAGACGGCGGTAGAAGAGGGGCAGGCGGTCGCTGATCCGGATTACATCACGAAACTACGGATGCTGAATCAAGTACGGTCGCGACTGGAGGATGTGGTTCAGACCTTTGGAGACTCCATGGAGTGGCCGTTACCGCCATCGGAGACCTCGCTGACGTCGTCATTCATCTCGGTCTCCGCCCCTGAACCTGGGCCCGAGAGCCAGAGTCTCGAGGAGAAGGGGCAGGAGGTTGCGAAGAAGCTGCGGAACGAGATTACAGAGTTACTCAATACCAATGGTGGTGGACAAGCAGGTTTGGATGCAGCTACGAAGCGGTTGGAAGCGCTACGTGAGTTGGCGACGATATGGAAGGGCTCCGCTGAAGAGAAGGCGCGAAATCGTTTTCTGGATAGTCTGGCGAAGATTATAGATGACCGGCGCCGGTCACTGGAGAACCAGGGCAGTTCAGATCAGTCCCAAGCGCGATCCTCGTCGACGAGAGGGAAGACGATGGGCCATCAACGGCAGGAAAGCGAAGGGCCCGGGGGTGGCATCTTCAAGAATCTACAGCGCCTACGTGAGGAGATATACCTGGAATGATGCGCTTATAGTGTATATCGGACTATGTACAGATTTAGATATATCTTGTGTATACCTACGTGCAAATCTGGAGTTCTCGCTGTGTAACTGGACCAGGACACAGTCACACGGCGACCATCTAGACAGTCCGGAGTACGAAGTAGAGGCTAGACTAAATGCTGATCAGGATGAAACGCCCATGCGCCAAGCCTGGCCAGGAATCAATCGTCCCTGAATCTCAAACATCTGTTTACCCGGGACCCGAGGGGCGATGACGCGGCAAAGGCAATAGATGACAATCAATACAACGGACTTCAATACTGGTGGACAGAGGAATATAAGAGAAACTCCTTGTAGAATTTGACGTTTGATATGACCCCCGAAGCGAAATTAGATGACGACAAGCTAGATAATAAGAGTCGTGCGCGGCACAGCGTCGGGCGATCGCATCAAATATGGCGGCGGATGGATCTTAGTCCACGCCTATCAGGAGAGCTCCACCGGGACGATGTAAATCATTTCCTGCTCCATCACACGGAGTACCACAGTCGCCATGCCTGCTAAGAAATCTGTGGCTTGTTGCAACGTGCGCTTTATCATTCACTTCATTTTTAAACCTCATATCCAACGCAGATGATTGATCAGGGACCAACGACCTCTGGAACTGTATAGGCTGCTCACCATCCAACCCCTATCGCATTACGCTGCGGCGTCGTCATTGACTTCTGTTCCATCGGCGCGAACAATATGGTACATTGCTTGATTGACTGTTGAGCGCTCCTCTCCCCCAATCACACAATTGACGACTATTTACGGCTGTAATCCCTCATCCTCTGCGCTCGCCTTCAAATATCTCAATGCAGGAATGCCTATCTCGAGCACGACCTCTGCTTATAGTGGTTGATACCAACATTCCTTTTCCGCTCGGTTCGAGCTGACACTGCGATTGATTGTTGTTCGTTCTCACAGAGGGCCAGAAGGGTACGACAAGTCGGCCAGAATGGCTACCCTCCGCGGTTCCATCCCCTGGGGCGATCAGTATAACTCCGTGCGCTCGAGGGCGACGACGCTTCTGCAACAAGTCTATCTGTATGGCCGACCGAGGGCTCGTCCGGCGAGGGCTCGTCTGGCCAGGGCTCTCATTATCACACTCGCCGCATGTTTTTTCCTTTACGTTTGTCTCTCAGCGCCGTTTAGACAGGTATGTTTTCTGGTTACTTCGGGTTGATCTGCGACTGACATTAGCTGTCTATGCAGACCTCCGTCAATTACTGGCTCAAGTATCCCTCATACCATCCATTCGGTGGCCGCCCCGAAGACACACCCATGGTCCATACTGGCGGACCTGCGCTAAGTCGAAATGACACTCTACCGAACAGTCTGGAGAAAACAAACCCTTCTTTTCATCTTGTACTGCCCGCTGGGCAGAAGAGCGCCGCGCTGTGTCGCACAATAACCTCCGCAATGATCTTGAATTATCCCCCGCCTACTTTGCTTCAATATGGCAGAAAGCTCCCAAGCGGATCCTCCGAATATGATTACGTGGTGGACCGTGTGACGGGCATATACAATTTCTTGCAATACACCCCGCACGTGCGGGATGGCGACTTTGTCCTCATCGCCGATGGCTATGATGTTTTCTTCCAGTTACCGCCGGAGGTGCTCATCCAGCGGTTTCAGAATATACTCAGAGAGAATAACGCCAAGTTAAGAAAGAAATACGGCCTCGCGAAGGAGTATCATCCATACCGCAAAGGCCTGGAGGAGGCCTTGCAGAAATACTCTCAGAGAGTGCTATTTGCCGCAGGCAAAGAGTGTTTCCCCAACATAACCGCTGACGCCGGCTGTGTCACCGTACCGCAGTCCAGCTTGCCCCCGGATGCCTACGGCTGGAAGACCGATATTCATCCGGAGGGACACTTGACCCGACCACGGTGGCTGAAGCCCGGTACGGTGATCGGCCAGGCTGCCGACCTGAAATTGATATACGCCGAAGTACTCCGCTTTGTGGAGGAGAACCGGCACAACCGCAGTGACTATCTGGCTCTGACCCAGATGTACGGACGCCAGGAGTACGTGCGAGAACTAGAAAGACGGAGAAGTTCCAACTGGTTCAACGAGTGGGTTTACCGACTAGTTGGCATTTCCGATGCTGCGAATATCACGGGCGTGAACCCGCACCTTGAGACAGGTCATCGTTACGAATACGGAATCGGCGTCGATTTCGAATCTCGTCTATTCTTCAACACGCACAAATCGAAGCAGGATGTCGAATGGCTCCAATACCATAATATCCCCCTAGCATCTTCCGTCCAGATGAAGCACGGCGTTCCCCGCGAGAGGCGCCTGCTGCTTCCCCCGGATCTCGCCAGTCCGAGACTTCGCAATCCCTTCGTCCAACCCCGGTTCGGCAAAGACGAACAGGTCAAACCAGAGTTCAACTCTACCCTTGACGCTCTTCCAAATGCAAGGAATCATACATGGCATCACATGCCCTTGCTGACGAATATCCACTCGGCCTCTGTGCCAGCCCTGATCCATCTCGACGAGGAGAAGCCCGTCAAGGACGACAAAGCCTGGCCGGTGAAGCACCCTGAACGGCTGATACGAGATACCTGGTGGTACAACATGTGGTACCAACCGTGGGCTCGCGCCCTTCTCCGCAAGTACATGCGTAGTCCTACTGGATTCGACGCTGCCCAATCAGCTCTCCTGGGAGGGCAAGACTGGTGGGATATGCGCGGCGGCAAGGGAGGCGTTTGGACGGACAAGGGCGAGTGGCTCGACTATGCGGAGGTCTGCACGGGCTTCGAAAAGGAGGTTTTCGACGATGATCTGGGGCAATGGGGCCACGAAGGCGGGGACCCGGACGAGCCTGTTTATAATCAGTTCGGTCATCTGGTCAAAGGCAAAGGTGACTCTTAGGACAAACCAGGTCAAGGGAGAGATGACTCTGCGGACAGACAACCTGGTCGACCGCAATGATGACTCTATTGGTAGTCTGTCGGTGCCCCCTTTTCCTGTCTTCAAGAGTTTGGACGTGCCTAGCTACGGCACGCCATGATCAAGCGAAGTGAAGAAACATGGCCCGTCTCCTCGCTCTACATGTATTTTTGGCATCTTTTGCACATACGCTTGCGGCTCCGGGGCCGGCTGATATAGTCAGCTCGTTGTCTGACGCTTCTGCATTCTCGGTGTTTTGGAGTCTATTTATCGTTATCCGTTGGTTTGGACTTTCCATTTTGAGCGTCGGCCGGCGGTCGAGCACATTTATCTTCTGTCCTTCCACAAAAGCCATACTACATAACCAGATACCAGTCGTATACCAGATAGACCAGTGAATAGACATAGTACATTACCATTACATGCTTGAATCCGTGCATAAAGCTCATATCATCTACCCTACACTCCCCGTCCTCCCCTTCGACCCTAACGTCTCCCGGATAATAGCCAATATCTGCGCCACATCATCCTCCGATAACCTCTCCTCCCGCTCCTCAATCACCGTATCCAGCAGCGCAAGCGCCCCGTAATCCTCCTCGCTCAACCCACCACCCCCTGATTCTCTACCTGCCTCCTCCCCACCCTCCTCCCCTCCTTCCGCCTCATCAACCTCCATCCCATCCTGCTCTCCTCCCTCCCCTTCCTCCTCACCACCCCGCGCCCCGGAGGGCGTATCCAACCCCACCCCCAGATTCACAATCATAACCACCTCCCCCTTCGTCAACCCAAACGGCTTCAGCCGCGTAACCAGCTCGCGGAGCGCAAGGTCAATGGGCGTAGGCGTACTCGGCTGCACGGGGGGTACCGTCGGGGACGCACCCGACGACGGCTGTTGTTGCGACTGTGGCGGTTCGCCATGTATATAAGCTGGGTATTTGAGGAGGTGAGGGGAGAGACGGTGGATGTAGTTGTGGATCTATCCGTCAGCGTCGGCGTCAGCATTACCCTCTCAGACTCTATCCAGAGCGGAGGGGGACCTACCTCTCGGACGACTGTATTGTGGTCGCGGAGATCAGGACTAGGAACCCAGTTCCGGGAGTTCGGGGGAGGGTTAGGGGGTCGTCGGGGTGGGTTGGCGGTTATGTAGGCCAGGACCTCGATGTTGGTGAGGACGGCGCTTTGGGGGTCGATTATCTGTATGAGGTTCTGTTAGATGTTGTGGATGGTGGGTGAGGCGGGTTGGAAGGGCTCACCCTCATGATTTCTGAGTGTGGTATGTCTGCATTGAGTGATTCCTGCGTATATGGCTATATTTGTGCTGGGTGGTTTGGCTGGAAAAAGTTGGTGATGGCGGGGATGGTGTCTGTTCTGCCGGCAGATGGATCACGGGCGGTCTGTTTACTTTCCGCAGTTGTGTTTGACTGATTGCTATACTACTGAGGACTGGGGTAGTACTAGGGAAATGCAGGTTATAAGGATAGACTACGACTACGACTACTATGAAGATTGATATGAACATATTATTCCTGAATTGTACTGCCTTGTACCAATAAGCACCTCTGCGCCATGGATAGACCAGCAAAATCGCATCCTGAAATGCCACCCAAACAAATAACTCTCACAAGAAGAAAGGGAAAAATAATCAAAATGACAAGCAGCATTGAACCCACAATGTGTGATATCATACAAAGATTGATGAAGCGATCGATCCACGCAAACTTTTCTTTTCAGATCATTGCAAGGTTTATTCCTCCCCCTTCTTCTTCTTCTTCTTTTTCTTCTCGCCGTTGTCGGCCTCCTCGCCGTCATCTGATCGCTTACGCTTCTTCTCATCGCCCTTGGATGCCTTCTTGGCCTCCTTCTTGGCCTTCTTCAGCTCCTTCTTGCTGATGGCGCTCGGGTTGCCATTGGCGTCGAAAGTGATCTCGCCGCGCTCCAGCTTGCGCTTGTACCGCTTGACGCTCAGGCCGGCCTTTTCGGCCATCTTCTCAAGTTCGGCATCCTTGCCCTTCTTGGACTTGTGCTTCTTGCTCGACTCCTCCTCAGACTCGTCGGACGAGTCGTCGTCCTTGGTTCCGTTGGCCTTGGGTTCCTCGTCGGAATCGGCGTCGGCCATCTCCTCATCTGAAACTTCCTCAATGAGCTTCTTGTCCTTCTTAGAAGCAGGCTGGTCGCCAGTAAGAGCATCGGCGTCGGCGTTGTATCTTCTGGCTTCGTTGATCTCGAACTTCTTGGGCTGCACGGAGACACCGTTGGGCCCGATGGCAACACCACGAGGCTTGAGAGGCTTGCCCTCCATAGCAGCAAGTTTACGCTCGAGGTTGTATCTGGCTTCAGTACCCAGGGCGGCCTTGTCCTCCTCAGTGGCATCGTCATCCCATTCGGCGAGAGCATCGACACGCAAACCAAGGGAAGCCTTGGCGGCCAACACTCTTGCCATCTTACCCTTGTTCTTACCGGTGGCCTGACCGATAAGGGAAGCGTGGTAGATGAGACCGTACTTGGGCGTGTCGTGCTTGGTCTTCAGCGCACGGAACAGAGCCTTTTCGGCTCCGAGAATCTGGATGGTACTGGCGGGGCTCTTGGAAAGGTTTGTCAAGCTACCAGCGTGGGCAATAAGACGGGCACCAACCAACTCGCCAACCAGGGCGGTCAGGTTAGGCGCAATAGCGTTCATACGGGCAGTCAGGTAACCAGCGAGCTGCTGGCGGTATTCGGCGAAACCAACAACCTGCTCGGCCAGCGCCTGAATGTTCTCCAAATCCTCCTGGCTGATCTCGGTACCCATGGATCGGTCAGCAGCGGCCTTGACGGTGCCCTCAAGCTCTTCCGGAATGATCTCCGCCAGATCCGCGGTCTCCCAGTTCGATCTCATGCCCATCTTGAGTACAAGTTTGGCATAGGCAATGTTGTCGTTCAGAATCTTGGCCAGCTCGGGGAAATGCCAGCCGTACCATTCTTTCACACGCATGGCGTAGGTGTTGAGCTCCTTGTCCAGGTCGTCCAACAAACCAATAGCTTGGACGATCATAGTATCGATCTTATCGGGGGAGAACTTGAGCTTGTGTCTGGCGAGAGAGTGGGACAGACCAAGAGCCATGGTAGACATGTCCTGGGGAAGAAGACCAGGAATGAGTGTGGGGAGATGTTCGCGAATAGCACGGAAAATATCAGTCGTGGTCGAGTCCGCGACCAATTGAATAGACATGCCGGGAAGCTTGCCAATTGCGTTGCCTGTTGGGAGACGCAGGATTAGAAACTGAGTAATTCGGCTTCTCGAGATGTTCGTGTCACTTACCGAGCTTGGGGTCGGCAACGGCCAAAGAAACCTTCTTCTCATCTTTGATCTCGTCCAACAAGCTGGCAAGGCGAGGAGTAACCTTTCCTTCCACAAGCGAAGCGACTTCTTCCAGAGCCGTAGCAGCACTGTCGAATTTCTGGAAGCTCTTCAATTTCACCCTACTACGGTGTTAGAGCACTGTTTTGAGAGCGGCGAAAAAATTTTGCTCGTAGAAGCCCATGCAAGAATCGAACATCAATCAAATCGCTGACAAGGACACGAAAGCATTCACTCACAAGTTTGAAACACCCTCCGCCGTGGAAGCTTCCGTAGCCAGATCATCTCTCTTCAGAAGCTTCTTGTCTTTCGCCTTGAGCAGGGCATAGCCCGCGCTGGTTTCGGTAAGGATAAAGAGCGTCATGGTGCACGGCCTTGACCCTCAGCTGCTCAAAAATAAATCGAGTATCTGAAAGAAAAGAAGAAGAAACGGCCGAATGTGTGTTAGCGACCGTGGGCGAAACCACCGTGGGCGTGCTGAAGATTAGTTAATTTTTCTGGCTGTTGGCGGGAATTTTTGCATCGAAAACTAAAAAGTTGAAAAAAAGCGATCCAAGCCACCAGGTCCTGTGGCGGGTGCGCGGTGTGGCCGTGCACCCTTACATAATACAGCGGGAGGGTGTGGCAGAGAAACAGCTCCAGGTGTTGGTTTGCGGAGAGGCCCAGGTAACCTCCAGGTAGCTGTCAGCACTTCGAAATGGAGGGTCTCTTTTTCAACGTTAACAATGGGTAGGCTGCCTCTTGAGCTCCTCATAATCCGATTGCATCAATCACTGATTTTGGACAGCTACATCGAGGGGATTGTCCGTGGGTATCGGAACAGCCTGCTCAACAGCCAGAACTACTCCAACTTGACCCAATGCGAAAACATCGATGGTCCGTTGATTCGACGTCTCTTCTGTCACCATCATATGGTCTAACATGCTTTGAGAACAGATGTCAAGTTACAACTCGCCCCCGCCTATGGCGACTTCCTCGCCGCACTACCTCCCAACCCCTCCACATCTGCCCTCGCCGGTAAGATGACGGACAAGCTCGTAGCGGAATTCCGCTATCTCCTCGCCCAGGCCACGGGGTCTACCGCGAAGTTTCTGCAATACCTGACTTATGGATACATGATCGACAACATTGCTCTGCTGATTACCGGCACCTTGCACGAACGGGACACGCGAGAGCTCCTGGAGCGATGCCATCCCCTAGGGTGGTTCGAGACCCTGCCGGTGCTATGCGTCGCCACCAACATCGAGGAACTGTACAATTCCGTGCTGATTGAGACACCATTAGCGGACTATTTTAAGGGCAGTCTCAGCCACCAGGACTTGGACGAACTGAATATCGAAATCGTGCGCAATACGCTCTATAAGAACTATCTTGAGGACTTTCACAACTTCGTCAACACTCATCCGGACTTCAAGGGCACTCCCACGCAAGAGGTCATGTCTGAGCTATTGCAGTTCGAGGCTGACCGTCGTGCGATCAACATCACTCTGAACTCATTCGGCACCGAGCTCTCGAAGCAGGAACGGAGGAAGCTGTACCCCGAGTTCGGGAAGCTCTACCCTGAGGGGTCTCTGATGCTGTCCCGCGCCGACGACCTCGAAGGCGTGTCTTTGGCCGTGAGCGTGAATGCCGACTACAAGGCCTTCTTCGACGCAGTTGGTCTCAGCCAGGGCGGCGGTGGAGGCTTCGGGATGGGTGGCGGCTCAGATGGGAAGAGTCTGGAGGATCTATTCTACCAAAAGGAAATGGAATTGTGTAAGATCGTCTTCACGCGCCAGTTCACCCCGGCGGTGGTATACGCGTGGATGCGCCTCAAGGAGCAGGTTCGTCGCTCGAAGCTCAATGATCACATTCTATATGCAATGCCGCTGACATGGTTCGCAGGAAATCCGAAACGTCACCTGGATCGCCGAATGCATCGCGCAGAACCAGAAGGAGAGAATCGGAAATTTCATTTCTGTCTTCTAAGCTTTGCTGCTCCTTGCAATCTCCATGTTAGCCCGTCCTCTCCGCCTTTCGATGCTACGCATATTCCCATACCGTTCCATCGCGATCCCTGGTCTCTGTTATTATTGTACCTAATTTCAATGACCCTGTTGTTTGATTTTTTGGGCCGTTGGCTCCAGTCAAGTACCCTCCCTATGAGCGCCGCAAACTCGCTCGGCATACCCTTGCCAGTTCTTTTCATCTTGGTCTCTGTTTGCTTGCCTCGGCGTTTGGGGGATCTTCTTCCTTGTGATATAGTATAGATGAACACATCTGACCTTGAGCCTGAGTTTGCTCAGGTACCTTTCACGCATGTTGGTATTGAATGTGCTCCCAGCGCAGCTCACCCTCAATCGTAAGCTGGATTTACATATCTGGCTAATAACGGCCAAACAACCCGCCTCCGATTACTCCCCGCCCACTGTTTCCTGCTCACAGCGAACCGCCAGCATGGGTTCACTGCAGGAGACCAGCCCGTTTGCGATATCAGTTGTCATCGAGATCATGCACGGTGACTATGCGTTAGTTGGACTGGCACATACATGGGGCGAATGACGTCGCGAGGAGTCCGGGGCCTAGTCTACCTGGCTGAATTTGAAAGCCCCCGCGACGAAGGATAAGTGCAGTATTCTTTGAGCAAGGCTAAAGAGGAATATCTTACTGTAGAAGCATTTCTTAAGCCTCTCGTTATTCGAATATTTCTAATCTAATAGCCCAGACAGCTAACATATAACGGGTTCGTCTTTTCAAACGCATGTTCATATTTTGTTTGTGCCAATGCATCGGTTGAGTAGCTTCCCACTTCTCAACTGCAAGAAACAAGTAAACGCCAAGCCAGCAGCAAAACAACCAATGTTAAGCAGAGACGATGCAATGTCGAAGGTAGCCAGTGGTATCTGAATATAACGAGTAAAAAGTTGACCAGAAGTTGGAATCAATATGTCCTGACTCATGAATCTTTCCTAAGATACAGAAGCATAATTGTGTCATCCACGACCTGCAATACATCATTGCAGCCGCAAATCAACGTCACGAAACAAGAGAGGCAAATCCAAGCAGTCAACTCCATTTTCTGGTCCATATAGGGGCGTAGTTTCAAAGCTCATGCGTTCGCCCGTGGAGGTCTTCGTGTATATTCAATGTATAGGAGGTATATGGTGGATGGAATAGTAAGGATTCATAAGAGTTGGCAAAGGTTGGAGACATGACAGCAGAAACCAACATCTATGTCAGAAGCAAAGGCAAAGAAAACGAAAAGACCCAAAACGCGGCTTCGCTTCGTCGTTCAAATTTTCAAAATTTCATGGAATATCTTTCATATGCGAGACATAGCCGCCATAAAGCAGTGAGATATGCAGTCCCTGTTCAGTCGTATTGGAAAAGTACGCTGATGCTCTCGCCGTGGTGGACTCGGCGAATGGCCTGCACAGCGTTAGGACAGATTCGCATTAGATAGAAAAAGAAAAGCAGCTTACCTCTGCGAAGACATGACCAACCTCCAACACTTCCAGTTTGGGGCATCGGCGTAAGTGGTCCGATTGATCGACGCTGTTGGTAACGACGACCTTGTCGAGAGCGCTAGCGTTGATGCGGTCGATCGCATCGCCGCTCAGGATACCATGCGTGACCAAAGCATAGACCTTGGACGCGCCCTCCTTCTTCAACAGTTTCGCAGCTCTCGTGATGGTGTTAGATGTGTCGGCAAGGTCGTCAATCAGTATGGTCGTCCGATCCTTGACATCACCGACCAACATCATGGTAGCATTTTGGCGGTCTGTAATCTTGGTTGGGCGTCGTTCCTACGCACACAGTCAGCATGAGAATCCTACAGAATCATTAAGTGAACCGTACCTTGTGAATGAGAGCAAATTCCATTCCCATAGAATCCGCAATCGCAGTTGCTCGCTTGGCACCTCCGGCATCAGGACTGACAATGACCGCGTGTTTGTAGTTCGGAATGTTCTGCTGGATGTAGCTCTTGAGCAAAGGTCTGCCGTACAAGTTGTCGACAGGGATGTCGAAGAACCCTTGGTATTGAGGGTCGTGCAGATCCATTGTGATAATGTGGTCTGCACCAGCGCAGGTGAGAAGATCCGCCACCAGAGTACCTGCCTGAGCCACCCATTGCTTGTAGCCAGGGCGAGGCTGGAAGCTGTTGATCTTGGACTGAACATTGTCGTCATTCGCCTGCCCATTGACCACAGTGGATCGAAGGCTAACGTCCGACTTCAGTGAGTCGGTGGTGTCGCTGCGCGGAGGTCCATTAGGAATGCGTTTCTTGACCGGGCTGCCGTTGCTGTAATCATCAAGCTGTGCCTTTGCCAAACCCTTCTGCAGGTTATCGACATTGTTCAAGAGACTTCCACTCTCCGGCTTTCCAGGGTGCGGGGTTGGTGGGGTGCTCTCGAAAGTGTAGCCATTACCCGGCTTTCCAGCATTGGATGATTTGACAAGGGGCGCCCCAGCTTTGTTGTATGGGATATCACTTTGGCGAGAGTATGGGAACAAAGGGAGGACGGCGGTGACTCTCTTGGCAGAGGCAGTCTTACAGGCAGAAATGGTGATGAGCAGTTCCATGAGGGAGTCGTTCACTTTCAACCCGCCAGATTGAATGATATAGACGTCTTTCTCACGGACAGACTCTTTGATTTCAACCCGAGTTTCCCCCACTGCGAACTTGGAAAGTAATACGTCGGCCGGGGGGATACCCAGGACGTTGCAGATCGTCTGAGTCAACTGGGGGTGGGAGGTGCCCCCAATAACGACAATATTCCGAACCATCTCGGTTGGCTGATTGTTCTGACTGTTTTGATCGGACTTTGGAAAACCGGAGGGATATAAAAGCAAGGGTGATATTGGATGTTCGGAGAGCGGAGAGAAATCTGGAGTGTCCGAAGAAGCGGGAAATCTGACAAGAAAAAGACGATCGGTGAGAACGGAACGGTAGAAAAGCGGGTTTCAGAGGGGAGATTGTAAACTTGAAGCGAGGGTTGACGAGCACTACCTCATGGCGGAGAATCAAGAGCGTAGACGGAGCCCGACGAATTGGACTGAGGAGACATTGGAGTAGTGGAGGGAAGAAACGAAAGGCAGGTCGTGTGAGTCCCGCGATAGAAAAAAATGCCTCTTCCACCAGTGGAACCGGCTTGGGTCGCTGCCTCGGGTTTCTGCCGGTATGCCTCAGGCACAAAATTGCCGCATCGGGTCAAGCGGGCAGAGCTGATCTCGTCATGCCCCGCAGAAAGGCACAAAGAGCAGGTAATGATGATGAATAAATATCAACAAACAGCATGACCCCATCCATGAAATGAACAGAATCCAAAATCACATCATCCAGCAAACAACCAGCTAGTCAGCACTCTTGCTATCGTCCCCAGCACAGAAAAAACAGCGTCCTGCTTTTTCTGTTACGACATGCTAGCCTGATGCACTACAAATAGAGCATGGTCATTTGCCGGTAGGTACATGCAAAATTGGAAGATAAAAGGAAAACCGGCCAGAAGAAGCGAAAGTTGAAATGCCAGAGTATTTTCATGATGATACCTAATACTCCGAGTCCCAGTCGTTGCCTAAATGAAACCCATGGTAAAAACACAGAGAAAGAAAGGTAAAGTAGGCGCATGGCCTTCTGGATCCAAGGCAATGCAATTTTTATTCGCCTGTTCCAACCTCCCTATGAATCGTAAGTCAGTATCATGCTTCTTCCTATAAATTGTGACGGCGAGGGAAGTAGGGGAGGAAAGTGATTGCTCACAGGTCAAGCTGGACGCCATTACTGACTCCATAGTCCTCCAATGTGAGCTGATCCTTGAATGGTCGTTCGCCTTGGCGTTTGAGTAAAATCTCATGTGGTTCGCGTCCGATACGTGCGGCTACCTGGGCCTTGAAGAGCTCTGTAAATAAGATTGTTGTTAGTCCAGCGTGACCACAGTTGGAAATTGAGAAACGGGATAGCAACGAACTGATAGGATCAGATGCAAGACATGGTATCGCAGCCTTGGTTCCCAGACGATCGTTGACATGCACCACAATCATAGGTTCTGAGGATTGGGGTGCGACAACCGCCTTCTTTTCTGGCTTCTCTTTCTTTTTCTCCCGGCGCTCATCTTTCTGACTATCGTCTGGCCGTCTTCGCTCGCGATCGCGATCACCGTCCCTGTAACTGTCTCTGTAGCGATCTGAGTCGCGGTCCCTTCGTGGTGATCGTGGCCGGTCGCCTCTGTCTCTGTAACCCCGGCTCAGCTTGCTCTCTTCTGCTCCGGGTCTGTCACCATCGTGGCGTTTGTCTTTCCACCGGAATCCTCCTCCAGTCTTGCGAGGCCGGTCTCGATCCCCATCATATCGTCTTCTCGGTGATCTACTTCTTGAACGGTCACCCATGGTAAAACTCGAGGTATGAATGTGCTAGGAAGGAGTGGGACCGCTGTGGTAACATAGGTGCTGCAGGACAGACACGTGATGATGTATGGCGGCCTGGCGGGCAGCTGTACACAAGCTAGACTTAAAGTGGTTTAGACCGTGGGATCCATTATCCAAGCAATTAAGAGTGGTCTGTGTCTCACTCTACGTAGACCCATGCATGTCTACATCGCGTTATGACTTACATCGTTCGCTTTCGCAGCTTCTCGCCGGACCATGCCACTTTATTGCGCTGCATAGTCACAGGTCCTATGGAGTCAATTGGTCTGTCCATCCCTTTGTGAGGTCTTCATCCCTCGTTACAGATGCCGGTTCACCTGGTTCTGCGGCGTCCGTCTCCGACGACCGTGTCATTTACTGTTTCCAACGCATCCAAGCATACGAGCACACCTGCTAGAGTGCTTTTCTACCTCCAGATCTTGCTGCGCGCTCTCGTCTTTCTCTGCATAGTCTTCTGTGACATTGCGAAAGTGCGCCACTCGTTCTTTCACGAAGATGGTTCCCTCGTGCGATGGACGGCGGTCTGGTCGAGCCCGTTGGGTTCTTTTGTCTGTCGCATTGTGGATGCATATAGGTCTGGAGTCGTCGCTTTAGTGAGCATATTGTTGCTGTACTGTGTGTTCAGGAAGGGGTATACAGGTATTTCAATCCCTCGCAGTGGACAATTGACGGACCGAAGTTCTCACCCCTTTTATAAATGCAGAAGAATCTCTTTTGGTTATCCGCGGGTTGGGCATCCAGACTTCTACTTCATCTGCGACCTATCTGTCTAAAGCTGCAACGAGATTCATCCCCACGACGCAGATCCAAGATATAGTGATCCATGAAGCTTTTAAAGGGTTCGAAGTCCGCTTTTACCTCGCTGTGATTGTGGAGGGTGAGCCGGACGTTGTTGTGGTTTTTCCTGTATGTCTCTCCATACCAGCAAGGTTGATTTACGCTTACAGACGATGCAAAGAAACTTCTACCGAGACGCGCAATTCTGGAAGAGGTTTGGAGGGGTTCTCGGCGCTGTTTATATGAAGCCAAATCATGAGAAATTTGAGCTGGATCTGGTTGGGCAGTATCACTCTATGATGCGACGCTCTCTATACTTTGGAAGGTACTTCAAGCCTCCGTTTCCTAATCGTCCCCATGCGCAGGCTCCGGAGCCTTCTCAGCTTTTCGCTGCTTTGACGCAAGCCACCTGGCGTTCTGAACCTCCACGGGTTCTGTCCTCCGCTTCTGCATGACGGGGACATATTTGCCGCCCATTCTGGGTTCATTGGCGCCATAGAAAACCTTTTGCCCCCGATTATCTTTCTCCGAAATAGCGTCATGAGATGCTCCTCCCTGGACAACACTTTGGTCACCCTGGCTAACAGCTAGGTCTAGTAGCGCGCCTGCCAGAATCTCGTCTATTTTCCGCTGTCTCCAAACGGACCAAAGTCCGTCCACTACTCCTCCAACACCGAACTTGCCGCTGCCCTTCCCTAGTTGGCTCTTGGATTGCCTGGGATCTCCAGCGTAGATCCAGTTCAGTGCATCTTTACGACTGCCGCTTGCCTCGTCTGGGAAGATACAATCCCAGAGGACTAGCGGGGCATCAGACGCCATTTCGTACGTTGGTTTGCAGGGATTTTTCGACACATCCAGCAGATCGCGCACAATAGTTGGAGGCTCCAGCCCTTGGCCGACCAGGAAAAGGATGCTCACCATGTGCCGTACTTGATGCCACAGGAAGGCAGACCCGTGCAAATTGAATACATACACTTTAGCAGCAGCTGAATTTGTGATGGCTCCTGATTCGGCATCCGTTCCGGCCGCTGCATTCGGGAGAGCTTGAAAGCCGGGCTGGTTCACATAGCCCAAGGGGTGATCTTTTGGATCAAGGAGCTCGATGTCTGCATGGTAGATGATTCTTTCAAAGTTCTCAATCTGCTTGCTTGTGTCAAGCTTGCAGAAATTCCGAAAGTCGTGCACTCCTTCAAAGTACTTGGCAGCTTCTCGCATGGCATCAATATCTAACCAGCCTTCCCGTAACTGTGCAGAGGTACTCTTCTCACCCGATGACCGCATAGCAAAACCCAGCGGCCCTGGAGTTGGAGAGAAAGCAGGCTGGGTAAAAAAATATTTGTACTGGCGTTCTCGGCACGAGAAACGAGCGTCGAAACCCGGAGGCGGATTGGGGCACCAGGCTAGAATCCGAATGTCGTCCGGAAGCACTCTGTTCAGCATACTTATATAGGGTATTTCATCTGCAATGTCATCCCAAGTGTCGTCGGCATGAGGGCCGGATGTCATCTCAACGTCGGACGTTGCCTCTGCATCCGGCCGTTTAGGCCTCGCACTTCGTACTCTAATTCCAATGACCTGGCCAAAGGCACTCACACCACGATCTGTCCGCCCGGCCTTTGAGTAATCGCAACCCTCCCAGCTGATTGCGAAAGGTTTCAATGCCCTCGGCCCCCGGGAATCGTCAAAGGCCTCCGCGTTCTTAGGGAATATCAACCGAGTCCTCCGCATCGCCTTCCACAGCTCCTCTTCAATGGTGGGTAGGGGCGTGACATTCCCGTTCGCATGCTCCAGACCATTATAGCGCTGTCCCAGATATGCAAATTTCAGCGCTATGAAACGAGTATTGTATTTGGATGGATCAATCTCTCGAGGTTGCTTCGGAGGACGGGTAGGCGCTCTTGTATGCGTGATATCATCGTCAGGCGATAGAGGTCTCTTCTGTTTCCCTGCTTTGGCGGGGACAAGCTCTCGTGTGTCTGTCCCTGGACGCTCAGGGGGGGGGGGAGCGGAACTCGTCGCGCTGACCTCACTAACACCCTTGGACGGCAGGGTAGCATACTCGGTGTTTCGTGAGTGAAGCTGGCGCTCCAGCTCTGTGATCCGCGCAACCAAACTGGGGGTCGTCCAGGTCGAATAGTCCGGTTGGCCATCGGGAGGCGCATCCGCGGGGCCAGCCATGGTGTTCGATTTTGCGCGACCGCGCTTCACGGATCGGGTATGGGGATATCGACAGTAAATCTTGACTGAAATGGAGTCTGTGATGCGACTCAACGTAGACAGGGGCCTCCCTGGGGTTCTCCACATTCCCCGAACGATGCTGGACGAGGTATACTGAATCCTCTAGATCTGGTGGAAACTTGATTGCATCAAGCAAAAATTTAGTTCGCCCTCCACTTGTATTTAAATGGTAATGTAATTACGGCGAGCATGGTCGGAAGCTCGACGGCGCTCATGAAGGCATGAATTGTGGCGTATGAGCTGTAATTGATATGAGATTTGCATATGTACTTGAACAATTCTAAAGAAATTCGGAAAAATCTCCTGTTGTTGGTGGTTTGAATGGTTATGTCGCCTTGTCATGCTTTCAAGGTGATACCATAGGTATGCGCTTCGCTTTATATATTCCCCCCACGGACTTCTTATCTCACCCGGACGAAAATGGATACACTGAGTTCAAGACATCATGGGACACCTAGTAACATCTTCCGAAGCCTTTAACTGTCGAAACACATGATCGAAAGTCGACTGAATACACTATCTGTTTGTGGACATGGAAGGTCCTCAAGATAATAAAGAAGTGGTGACCATACTGGTGCTGGGAGACCCAGGATGCGGGAAGTCCACGTTTCTATCGTAAGCCAGACTCTCAGTTTAATTGTCGAAATGTATCGATTTTGGTATTATTGGATAGAGTCCAAGCTAATTCAAGTTATGCAGCGCCATAAAGAACATCCAAGCAAGACCCAGAGCTGAAACCAGTCATGGTCCAAGAAGGCAACTGGACCTGCTGCGAGATAGTGACCAACCATTCCTCTTCGACATCCGGTTCTCGAAGAAGTCGTTTACGCTTGAGCTTTATGACACCGCAAGCCCAAACCAGCACTGGTCAACCCTGAAGCCGGACGTGGTACTCCTGGCATTCGATATCTCGAACCGGGAGACGCTGGATGGGCTCAAGAAGGTTTGTTTCTGTTCAGCTCACCAATATGCCATGACTCATGCTAAGTGCCTCTTGCCTTAAGTGGAGACACGATGTGATACGGTATTTCCAGCGTGGTATAGGGGAGCGTATACCCGTCATGATGGTGGGTTTGAAGAGGGACCTTAGAAAAGAAGACGAGAGCATCATCTACCCGCAAGAAGTGAGTTATAAAATGCCCCCACGAGCCGCTTGTCGGGTGTCAATGGAGTGTTAGGCGACTGATAGATGCAGTCGTACCGCATTGCGCAAGAGCTACGCTGTGATCGGTATGCGGAGTGCTCTGCTGTCACTGGCGAACTTATGGCAGAGACGTTTGAGGATCTGGCTAGACTGGCGGGGATGACTACGACAGAGACCGGGGGCCAAACTCAGGGAGGGTGCGTAGTCTGCTAGATGTCGAAACTTCAGTTATGTCTATTGTAATGGCGAAAAGGGCGCTGAGTGTCTACGTCAATACTCCTCATGAAGCGATTGCTGCTTGCCGACTTTACGAATACACAAAGGTACTTCTGATACAATGCAAAGAATAGCTGGGTAGCACAATGTTCCATTTACTTAGCAACAAGGAAAAACCAAGGTAACGATTAAGTCCACCTTGTAAATTGACAGCACAGGGCTTTCCCCCAGAAGCTCACTTATAGGAGAACAACTGGATATCTTTCCCTCATAAGCGCCAGTCAATGGTTGACGTTGCAATTCCTCCCCGGTGCGTAAAGAAATCAGAAGTAAGAGTAACTGATGAAACGGAAATTTTTTGTTTGCGCTGTAGCATACCAAGAGATGTATAGAAGATGTGAGATGGTGAGGCGCCCGTTGAAAAGCTTCTTTTGATCTTTTTTTCTCATTTTGCGAGTTCCTGAACAAGAGACTAGGGTAGACATGCCAAGGAATTTTGGCGGAAGGACTCTTATGAGTTCTTCGTCGTCATTCGGATTGTGCAAATGATTGTTCGCGTCAGTCGCCTAGACGTCGGATCCCCTCCAATGCGCCATACTTTTGTAAGGAAAAGAAACTGATTCTCCTCAACGGCTGCCCTTGTCACCAGTTCATATCATCTACCACTTGGCCTCAGCGGGCTGGGTCTCAGCCCAGCTCTCACCGGCAGGAGCGGCAGAGCTGGCGGCCCAGTCACCGCCATCAGCCTCCCAGCTGGTGGGGGCAGCAGTGGCAGCGGAGAAGGCAGTGCCAGGAACACCAGCACCAGGAGCCTGGGTATCCCAGTTCTCACCAGCGAAGCCGGACTCGACGGCACCGGCGCCAATCTCCTCAGCACCGGGGACCTTGGTCTCCTCGGCAATCTCCTTGTTCTCTTCGGCCTCAGGGTCACGGTAGAAGTAGAGATCGACAACGACGTCCCACTCGGTCTCACGGGTGGCGAGAGTACCACGGAGACGGAGAACCTCACGGGCAAGCAACCACCAGATCAGACCGATGGCGTGACGACCCTTGTTGTTGGTGGGGATGGCAACATCAACGAACTCGGTGGGGGAGTCAGTGTCGCAGAGAGCGATGACGGGGATGTTGACGTAGCTGGCCTCCTTGATGGCCTGAGCATCGGTGCGGGGGTCGGTGACGATGATGAGGCGGGGCTCCTTGAAAGAGCGGGTGATGTAGTTGGTGAAGTTACCGGGGGTGAAACGACCAGCAATGGCAGTGGCACCGGTGTGAGAAGCGAACTTCAGGACAGCACGCTGGCCGTAGGGACGAGCGGAGATGACACAGATGTCGGCCGGGTTGTCAATGGCAGCGATGATACGGGCAGCCAGGAGGATCTTCTCCCTACAAGTTCGCGATCCCCGTGTTAGAGCCAGTGGCCAAAGCCCCGATAATCAAAATTCAAGGCGACATACCAGGTCTTGCCAATGTTGATGACATTGACACCGTCGGGACGAGTCTTCCAGAGGTAAGGCTCCATGTGAACCTGAAGGTTCTTGGAACCCAGGTGGCATTGAGCTGCGAGGAGCATCTCAATGTCCTGGGGGGTGGGGTTGAACATGGGGGGGAGCTGAGAGGGAGCCATTTTGGTCGATTGATATTGTCAAAGACGGCGATTTGAATATATCAATCGTCTGGCGCTTGTCGTGCTGGTGATGGAGGAGGATGAGGCCGACGCGAAAGATGTAACTTTTCCTCGCCGCGGCCGAGATGAATTTCGCTTGCCGGTTGTGAGCTTTAGGGCTAGGGTTACCCGATATCGTAAGGTCAGTTACCAAGTTTGTACCACCTGCGTAATTCTTCTGTATCGCTGTAATCTTCGAGGCTCTGATCCGCCCACCGCATCACGTGAATTAGGTCTCCCCATCAGGACTAGTGCATGTCGGGCGGTCTCAAGATTTCGTTCAGCAGCATCAAAAGTCCAAAAGCACCGCTGAGGGCGTGATATCTAGCAGGGTCAAGGGATTGGCAATTGATCAAGATGCCTCCACGATTCCTTTCCCAGCCAATATTCAAGGCCTTCACAGGTAAGTTTACAGAGTTTTTGTTTCTTATCCCTTCTGATTCTGTTGAGTGTTGAACTGACAAACTCAGGGTCTTCCCATGTTCATAGTCCACTTGTCGCATTGTCATTAAACCCATGCAAGACCTCTGTGCGAGCCGGATCTGCGGAGACTCGAGAGCGACGGCGCCATGACCCATTTCTAATGGCCCAGTCCCGTCAACGCAAGGCTGCCAATCTATCTCGTCAACAAGCCCTTGCTCGAGAGCGTGAAGAGTCCCTTGGCGATCCGGTGGAAAGCAAACCTACCCCTTTCATCGAGGAGCTGAAAGGCACGAAGGCTCCGACCTCTGAAGATGCGGCCCTCAACCATTTTATCTCGCCGGAAGGACTGCAGCAGGCGCTGGAATACTCGAAAACCTTGACATCACCGCTAGAAAACCCGGACCGGGAAACGGCAGACCCTCAACTTGAAAAGGAGGCTGCAGAAAGACACCTTAAGGAACATCGAAACGCTCAGGAAGCGATCAGCCGTATCATCAATATCAACAACGGGAACACCAAAGACCGCACTCGTCTGCTTATACAGAAATGCATTGATACATTCGGAAGACATAATACCGACAAGATCCTCCCACCCAAGCCCGCAGCTGTTGCTCACGACTCCTCCACTGTCCACCCCGAGAAGACGCCCAGAGTAGGCCCAGATACTGGCTCTCCCGAAGTTCAGGTCGCTATTCTGACCGCAAAGATCATTAACCTGTCCAGACATCTCCAATCGACCAACAAGGACAAGCACAATAAGCGCAACCTGAGACTACTGGTTCACAAGAGACAGAAACTGCTTCGGTACCTGCGTAGGAAGGAACGGGGTGGACCAAGGTGGCAGCATCTTATTGAAACGCTCGGCCTGTCGGACGCTGCTTGGAAGGGTGAGATCAGCATGTAAAGGTTTGCCAGCGTGCTTGTATTCTATTTCATTTATATTTTCTGTTCTCTACACCGAGGCACGTGTGTATGTTATGGCACTTGCACTCTACAGCGCTTTTGAGGTGATCGCGCTGTTCCTGATTAGCTTGGCTCTCTCATTGTCCACATAAGAGAGACCTCAATGTACAAATATAACTCCTCATCGATATCCATGGCTGTCACTTATACCTGAAGAGAACACCGTAGTAAGGTGTCGATTAAGTCAGGAACGGATGGATTCGCTATCTGCTCCGTACTCAAGGCTGAATGAGCAGACTTGCTGTGTACAGTTCATTCGAACGATGTTCGTAGAGTCAGCACAGTGCTGGGACTTCAGCTAGTATTATTACATGTCCATTGCCACTCCCCTACTATGTGGACACAATGATGTATGTCGCGCAGTGCGATCTCTGGGAGAGTCAAGCAAGCAGCGGAGCGAGGGCGGAAGAATCTGACCGCCTTTTTCCAGGATTCTGCCGGAACGTCACCCCGAATTTCGTTTTCCACTTGCAACACTCACAAACACAAACTTGAGCGCCGATGATGTTGTAGCACATTCACCTCTCGACA